AGCTCTTAGAATTATTCTGTAACAAAATGTATTGCTAATTGTATAGTAATATCATCTATTGTGTTGCAAAATCAGCTCTGAGTTAATTTTTTGCCCAGTAAGTTTGATTTTTCAAAGTGGATTGTGATCACAAGTAACCGTGTTTGAGAGAAACTCTGTTTTCTTCTACTAATTTGTATATTGCTCTAGTCAGGAAAGGATGGTGCTAATTCATCATAATCTTTTGAGTTGCTTTTCACCAATGATGCACCGACATAGACACTTGTGTCCAAACATGACACATGTTGGATACGTCGACGTGTAATTTTTCAAGAGAGTACTGATACGATACGTTGCGGCATGTTGATTAAATTCTTTAAAACTCTTAATTTATGTTGTATAAATTTAGTTTTATATTTGTTATTATGTTTTCTTGTTGAAATCTTTTAAACATGAGTATCTATTTGTTACTTGATACTAACTTTGATTTAACAATATATAATATTTGTAATATAANGTATGTGGTGGAGATTGTTTACTGTAGAAAATAATTTTTGGGAAAATGGTAGACAAACAGGGGCTTAGTTTTATATTTGTTATTCATTTTTCTTGTTGAAATCTTTTAAATATGAGTACCTATTTGTTATTTACTAATAACTTCGAGTTAAAAATATATAATATTTCTAATAAAAAAGAAAAATGATCATGGTAGAGTGTCTGAGTAGTATCAGTATCCGACACTTGTCGGATACGGACACACCATAGTTGAAGTGTCCGTGCAATAGAGCTTTTACAACATCTTTTGTCCGTTTTGAATCTCAGAAACTGATAAACCAGTTTTGTTTGGATTATATCCTCTGAAATAGTTGTTCATTACTTAATTATTGATTAGTCATCATGATTTCAAAGAAGCTGAAAAAAACTTTCTATCTTAATTACTGAGTTACTGGCATGAAGTTAAATCCGGATTGAGTTACCTAGCATATTTTCACCTGGCTCACGTCTCACATACATTTGCTCACTAAACTATAATGAAAACTACGAAAGACATAATAGTCAGAACATATAGCTGACAATTAAGTAAAGTTGTGCCACTAAGGAAATTGTTGCCTTAGCTAAACCATTGCACAATCAATTGCTGGTGAATATGTTAATAATGGTTCTAAATTTATTCTCAAGATGTCCTATTCTGGGGTTTTACGAGTGACTTCTTCTAAATGAGTTGGGGACTTCAAAATTTATACTCGAGTACCGTAATATCCACTCAGATTTCTGGATTTCTACTTTTTCTTTTTTCTGTGTAACAAAGATAAAATAAAAAAACGTTGAGGAGGACTGTTTGATTGCATTATGATTAAATATGGCCATGAAGATGGTTTGTCCAGACCAGTTTAGTGAATGCCATTGATACTCTCTTCTACTTCGGCAGTAAGTCAGATGTTCAATTGTTTTTTATGAATAACTTCTCTGCCATCATTTTTGTCGGTAGTCATATATCCAACTCTATAACTACTTGTCTCAATCACATGCATGTATGAGTGCAATATCTGCATATCTTATATGCACTACACATGACACTTTTTCTTTTGTAGAAGATAATGATTGTTACCATATTTTTAACAATTGCTTTATCTTTGTAAATGTTTCAGTCTCTCTGTTTCATGGCTGTCATTTTTTCTCTCTGTTCTTGTCCATCTTCAGCTTGTGAAGTTGCTTGAGTTGAGGGAGGTCAATCATATTGAGTTTTGCAAAATTAAAAGCTTGCTCGACGACATACTGCAAATGTACAGAAGTCCAGAGCTCAATGCAATCCTGAAGTTATTAATGGATCCTACTTGGGTGGCAACTGGGTTGAAAATTGAATTGGAGACATTAGTAAGTAAACTCTTTGTATAAATTGCTCTCTGTTCTTTATTCAAACTCATCATGTGTTGAAAGGAAAAAAATAACATGTTGAAACTTTGTGCTTATATTTTACTTTTGCCCACAGCTTGTTGACACTTTGCACTGTTAAATGTCATTTGATCTTCGTACTCTCAGGTGAATGAATGCAAGACTGTATCTTGTAGAATTGGTGAGATAATCTCTTTAGAAGGCGAAAAAGATCAGAAGATAAGCTCCTATACTGCAATACCAAACGAGTTTTTTGAAGATATGGAGTCTTCATGGAAAGGTCGCATCAAGAGGATTCATTTAGAGGAAGAATTTGCAGAAGTGGATGAAGCTGCAGAGGCCTTATCTATAGCAGTAAGTCTTTCAGAGTCCTCACAAAGTACTATTAGTCTGGTTCATCTCTTGTGATTGTACATGGCATAGGAAAGTTACATATACTTGGTGCTCGTGATAGCTTAAATTTTCCTCTGCTGTTCTGTAAATCGTACAACAGAGACATAATATATTCATTGATGAAAAATTTACTGAGGTTTATGGATTGAGAAAAGTGTAGTAAAATGGTTAGTTTAAAGCTCTCTGCTATTAGAGGTTTCCCTGTTAGTTATTTGTACTGTGGTTCCAATATATGCTCTGTCTCTCATTTCCTTTGTTCTTAGCAAAATTATAATGGAAGCTAACACAACTCCAATATTAATTTGGTGAATTGTCTCATTTTATTTAACAAACCTTGTATTTTTTTTCCCCATCCGGAAACAATGAAGGTATTTAATGTTTAATTATAAATCTAAAAGAAAATAAATTTTTAATTTGGAAGGATTGTGAATTACTAACACTAACTAGGAGATCCTAGCATAGTTTCACATCTCTAATAGAATCTCTCTTTGAGATTAATAAATGTACAAGTAAAATGCTTAGTCAATTTCTTAGTTTAATTAAAGGTTATTATTAGTTTTTGATGACAAGATTTAATTGACTTACACGTGCTCTATCTAATAGCTTAAATTTTTAGATAAAGTGGTTCAACATGCTATCAGAGCGGGCTAAGTTAAGGCAAAGGTCCTGGGTTCAAGCTTGCAGCCATCCATTTTGTGCCTTTTAGGCTTTGATGGGAAAACATGCATCCCACCTACATGTGACTGGTGCATTGAATGCAAAATTTAAATGATATATATGTGATCCTCTTTAACATCTTAGTTTTTAGATCAAGTGGTTCAACATTTTGCTTTACAGAGGAAGGCACTTGTAGCATTTGGAAATGAAAAAAACCAGATCCTTAAATTTTATGCTCTCAACATCAAAGTTTAAGTTTTTATTCACCCTCTGAGCTGCAGACCTTGTAGCATTTGCAAATGAAATTACCTGGAATCTTTTACCATGAGTTCAAGTTTAAAGTGGATGTCAACGTCTTGTAGGTCAAAGAAGACTTCCTTCCTATACTTTCAAGAATCAAAGCTACAACAGCTCCACTTGGAGGGCCCAAGGGCGAGATTTTATATTCTCGTGAGCATGATGCTGTATGGTTCAAGGGGAAACGTTTTGTACCTTCTGTTTGGGCTGGTACGCCTGGAGAAGAACAAATTAAACAGCTCAAATCTGCTCTAGATTTGAAAGGTAAAAAAGTTGGAGAAGAATGGTACACCACATTGAAGGTGGAAGAGGCATTAGCAAGGTACTTAAATTATTGATTGTGGTAATGGAATTCATTTTTCATATTTTTGTTCATTAATTGCCTTTTCTTTAATTGTAGCTTATACTTCCATTTGGTTTTCAGGTATCATGAGGCTGGTGAGAAGGCAAAAACAAAGGTCTTGGAATTGTTAAGGGAACTTTCTACGGAGCTACAGACAAAGATCAATATCCTAGTTTTTGCATCCATGTTGCTTGTCATTGCAAAGGCATTATTTGGCCACGTGAGGTTGCATCTAAGTGCTTTTTTGCTCTTCCTTTTGGTTGGAATGTGTGAGGGAATATTTGATTTTTCTTATTGATCAGAAGAACGTTGGGTACACATTGATATACAGAGCCGATATGCTAACTTAGGCAAATTTTCTTTTGTTAAAGGGTATTTAGGTCTTTTATGTAATACCTAGGGTCTCCTAAGGTTTTCCTAACTCTTATTATAAATAGTGGGACAGGCTAACGTAATTGTTAAGCCTTCTAATTCTTTTACTTTAACAGA